ACCTATGGAATGGGAGAAGATATTTGCAAATGACATATCTGATAGTATCCACAATATATAAAGAACTTATAAAACTCAACACTCAAAAACTGAATAATGTAATTAAAAATGGGCAGAAGACATGAATAACATTTTCCCAAAGAAGACATAGAGATGGCCAACAGACACATGAAAAGATGCTCAACATCACTCATCATCAGGGAAATGCAAATCAAAACTACAATGAGATATCACCTCACACCTGTCAGAATAGCCCAAGTTAACAACACCACAAACAGGTAGCTGGCAAGGATGTGGACAAAGGGGAACGCTCGTGCACTGTTGGTACAAATGCAAACTGGTGAAGCCACTCTGGAAAACGGTATGGAGTTCCCCAAAAACGTAAAAATAGAACTACCCTATGATCCAGCAATTGCACTGCTAAGTTTTTACCCAAAGAATACAAAAATACTAACTCAAAGGGATACATGCACCCCAATATTTACAGCTGCATAATCTACAACAGCCGAATTATGGAAACAGCTCAAGTGTCCATCAACTGATGAATGGATAAAGGAGATGTGGTGTGTGTACGTACACACACACACACATACTGGAATATTAACAATGAATGAAAGAAATGAATGAAAGAAGAAAGAAATGAATGAAATCTTGCCATTTGCAACAACCTGGATGGAGCTAGAGTAATACGTTATATGAATTAAGTCTGAGAAAGACAAATACCGTATGATTTCACTCATGTGGAATTTAGGAAACAAAACAAATGAGCAAAGGGGAAAAAAAAGAGAAAGAGGCAAACCAAGAAACAGACTCTTAACTATAGAGAACAAAATGATGGTTACAAGAAGGGAGGTGAGTGGGGGGGATTGGTTAAATAGGTGATAGGGATTAAGAAGTGCACTTGTGATGAGCACTGGGTATTGTAGGAAAGTGCTGAATCACTATATTGTTCATCTGAAACTAATATTACACTGTGTATTAACTAGAATTTAAAGCAAATCTAAGAAGACCCAAAACAAGTGACCTCAAATAGCCAAAATAATCTTGAAAAAATAAAACACTTCCTCATTTCATAACTTACTACAAAGCTATAGTAATCAAAATACTGTGGTATTAGCATAAGGACAGATCAATGCAATGCCACCCCCCCCAACCCCCGCCCTGGTTCAGCGGGTAGAGCATGCGACTCTTGATCTCAGGGTTGTGAGTTCAAGCCCCACGTTGGGTGTAGAGATTACTTTAAAGAAAAAAAAAAAGATCAATGGGGGAGAGTTGAAAGCCCATACATAAACCCATGTGGCTATGGTCAACTGATTTTCAACAAGGGTGCCAAGACCATTAAATGAGGGAAAGAACAGTCTCTTCAACAAATGGTACTAGGATGCCCATATAAGAAAGAATGAAATTGAATCATTACCTCACATCATATACAAAAATTAAGTGAAAATCAAAGACCTAACTGTAAGAGGTAAAATCAGAACTGTTATGGGGCACCTGGGTGGCTCAGTCGGTTAAGTGTCCAACTTTGGTTCCAATCATGATCTGGTGGTTCACAAGCTCGAGCCCCATGTTGGGCTCTGTGCCGACAGCTTGGAACCTGGAGCCTGCTTCAGATT